AGAACATGGGTTTGGGTGGACTCCAGGAGTTGGTGATGGATAGGGAGGCCTGGTGTGCTGCGGCTCATGGGGTCACAAAGAGTCAGACACGACTGAGTGACTGAACCGAAGTGAACCGATACTTAGGAGTGGTGGTGGTGTTTTACTCACGTAGTTGTGTACAACTCTTGATATCCTGTGGACTGTAGCCTGCTACATTCCTCTATCCATGGAATTCTCCAGGCAAAAATACTGGAGACACTCAGTAGAATTGCTAAATCCTATGGTAGTTCTGAGTGACTTCACTTTCACTTTTCACTTTCATGCATTGGAGAAGGAAATGGCAACCCACTCCAATGTTCTTGCCTGGAGAATCCGTTGAACAGAGGAGCCTGGAGGGCTGCCGTCTATGGGGCTGCACAGAGTCGGACACAACTGAAATGACTTAGCAGCAGCAGCAGCATGGTATTTCTGTATTTAGTTTTTTCAGTAACATCCATACTGTTTTCCATAGTGTCTGCACCAAACTACAAAAAAAAAAAAAAAAAAAAAAAAAAAAAAGAAAGAAAACAAAACAAAACAAAAAACTACAAATTATGTACTAAGTTTTTGTTTTCTCTACATTCCTATTAACATTTATTATTTGTGGTGTTTTGAAAGGAGCCATTCTGATAGATGTGAGTGAAGTACTACCTCATTGTGGGTTTGATATACATTTTCCTGATGATTAGTGATGTTGAGCATTTTTTCATATGGCAGTTGGCCATCTGTATGTCTTCTCAGGTCTTCTGCCTTGAAAATGTCTTTTTAGGTTGTCTGCCCATTATTTAGTTAGGTTGTTTGTTTTTTGATATTGAATTGTATGAGACAGTCTGATGTAGAGTATATGAACCAACTGGTGTCTTTTACATTGCTATTGGAAGTATATGTTGATACAAATACTTCAGAAATAAGTTTTATCTAGTTTTATCTAAACATTCACATAACCTCAATTCTTAGATTCACCTCCTAAATGTGTACCAAAGAAACAGTTTACACCTGTACAACTGGAATTGTATACTAGTCCTTATAGTAGATTGTCAATAGCATATAAAACGTGGAACCACCCAGAGATCTGTGAACCAACATCAGCTCTGAAATATTACCATGAACACTGCCTAAGACCACAGGTTTCCCCCAAAATACTGCAGAATTCAGCACTGGTGAACTGCAGGACAAAAAGCTCCAGGGAGAAAGAGTGACCATATTTATTGTGTGATGGGAAATAATTTATGAGGAATGTCAGAGAAGGTACATTTCTTTAGTCACTTGAAAACAAATTCTCAAAATTTTAATGGAAATTTTATCTAGAGTTTGGATCCTGCTTTTCTAAGTTAGCAAAAACATGGCTCCCATTTGTTGATTTTTTTTTTTTTTTTTACTCTTAGTCTGTTTAATCCTTGAAACAATGAAGATGAGGAAAACAGGCTAAGGAAGCTTCAGTAACTCATTTCAAGGTAAAACTGACAGCACAGATTAGGTTAGAGATTGGGTCTGTGCTTACCTAACAGCCACATGGCTTTAACTAAGTTGTCTTTATTCATACTTCAGTGAATCACCTATAACTGGTTTTCAGTGGCTCAATGAATTTGAACTCCTCTTCTTATGCAATTTCCAGCTAATTATTAATGATAGTGAAAGCACGTGGTATGCTTGAAGAGTGTTTCAAAAAGTACAGTTGAATGGAATTGGCTCATAACAGGATGGAATTGACAATGTACTGGGTAGACTCACAGAGATAATTTCTTCACTATCCAACAATGATAGAGTCTGGCTCAATTCTTAAACCTGTCAATATTCCTAAACTCTCAACTTATTTAATCCAGGCCTCGGATAATATTTTTTGGCTTCAACTTCAATATCAATTTTTTAAAGAAAACCTTACCTAAGCATTTCACTTCCATCCTACTTGACACACACAGATACACACTTGACACACACAAATACACACACACACACACACTTTTCTACTCTTTATCTATCTCTCTTTTTTAATATTTGAATTCTTGCATCATGATGGCAGGAATATTATTGAGGCTTTGGAGTCAGATTTGTATATACATTTCAGTTCTGCCACTACTCACTTTTGATCTTGGGTAACTTATCTAAACTCATAGAGCTCATTTGTAAAGTGGGATAATAATAGGACCCACCAAAATGTGTACCTCACATAGTGTGTTTAATATAGTCTCACCTTTAGCACTTAATAGTTTGCTGCTATCATTTTTATTATTGAATAAAACTGCCTGGTTCATTTTAGATATTCCACAAACATTTATTGAAAAAAAAATGAAATGAAGATTCCAAGTTCTGACTGTAGCCTGGTGATCCCATTCCTACAGATGAATTCTAACCCTTGTCAGAGATATCATTCTCTGGTCAGAGGAACCATAGAGGGAAGGGAAAGGCATTTGGTTGTCATTTTGGCAAAGTCTCCCTAAGTTAATTGCTCTTCCCTTGAGAAATAACAGAGGTGAGTCACCCACTTGAATAAAATTAGTGTCTCTATATTGCAAGAATTGAAGGATTTGAGAAGAAGTGTGAAGGTTTTTTGGTGAGTGAAGCACAAAGGCAATGATATTCTTTGTGGCTAGCCGTGGTGTTCAGTGAAATGATGAGAGATGGCAGGTTGAGTCCCAAGGACCAAAATACCTGACTTTTCATTGATTGTAGATGATCTGAAAAAAGTTGGAAGAAATGGCTTCTAGAAGTTTTTAACCCAAAGTACTTTTAATCCACTGATAATTTTTATAATTGGATTTACTTTTTTTTTTTTAGTGTTAGATATGGCTATTATGTTCTTAGGGCCTAGCAGACCAAAGTGAAGTTGCTCAGTCATGTCTGACTCTTGGCGATCCCATGGACTGTAGCCTGCCAGGCTCCTCCATCCATGGGATTTTCCAGGCAAGAGTACTGGAGTGGGTTGCCGTTTCCTTCTCCAGGGTATCTTCCCGACCCAGGGATTGAACCCAAGTCTCCCGCATTGCATTGCAGGCAGATGCTTTTACTGTCTGAGCCCAAACTGAAAATATTACAAACATCTATGAGTCCTAAAGAAATAGAAATGTGCTACAGCTGCTGAAATCTTTCCTCTCTCTCTAAAACCCAAATTCCTTTTAAATACAAAGTGCATGTGTCTTCTGTCTGGGCTAGTTTATTAGCTGAACAAGTCAGGCCAGGATGAGAAGTCTTAGACAGGATCTAATGTGAATTGATATGTAAGAAAAGTACAGTTCTCTTTTTAGAAATTTTACTTCAGGGTTTTCTTTTATGGAAACACTTTGATTTTTTAAAAAAAAATTTTTGCAGTAAATTAACATGTTCATGACTCTGATTACACACACCTTGGGTTGAAGAAAACCCTGATGGAATTTCTTTTAAATATTATTGAACCTTCAAAGAACCGAATATTGATAGGTCAGTAGTTTAAAACCCTCAGGACTGAACTGGGCAAAAATAACGTTTTTTTTTCTGATCATTTTGCATGTGAGAACAACTGATGAATTATTTTTCATTATCTTTTGTGTGTTGTTGATCTTAGTGGTTAAGATAAAAAAGTTAAATAATTTGGAATTCAAGTGCAGCACTTGTTGGCTATATTACAAAGCACCTGCTTCAAAATGTCTTTCTCAGATCACTCTGCAGCATGTCCTTTTTCTTCTTTTTCCTCTTCCCTTTTTATCTTTTTCTTTCTTTGTTTTTTCCTTTCACCTTTTTCCTCACGTCTCCTGTCTGTTTCTCCACATTTCCTGTCTCTCTCACTAAATGCTTTATAATACCAAATATTGGGAAAAAATAAATACATCATAAGACTACATTCTATGAAGTCTTTTGCTTGTTTTTTGAAGGTTATATTCCACTTACATTTATTTATTTATTTATTTTTGCTTTGGTCTGTATGTTTTCTTTTCCTTTTTTAAAAAATATAATTTATTCATTTTAATTGGAGGCTAATTACTTTACAATATTGTGATGGTTTTTGCTATATATCAACATGAATCAGTCACAGGTGTACATTTGTCCTCCTTTCTACAAAGTCTTTATTTGAATAATGAGTTAAGTTTAAAGTTCCTCTTTTCCCAGAAAACTCCACACCCAGTCATAAGCTGAAACTGGAAGGATTAAATTACTTATGTATTGGAATATGGTTTTAGCAAATGTGTTAAAGAAACAAATAATGAAGGAAAACACACAGAAAGTAAAAAAAATAAGCAATAATTCAATCTTTATTTTAAAGATTCTATTAATAGCTTGCTTCAATTTTTTAAATTTGACGATCCTCCTTTTTGACTTTTATCCGTGTTCACCTCAACTGGTTAGTTTGCATTTACAGAATCTTTGCCTTTTGGAGATGTTTAGAGAGAATTTTGAAGTTTTCTTTAGTGATAAATTCATGAAAAGAATTAAATCATACAACAACAAAATAATAATGTTTAAAATATTTTAATCTTTACAGTAACCCTAAACACAGTAATATATAACCCTCCTTTAACAGGTGAAAAAATTGAGGAAAAGAAGGATTAAACGAATCAATATTATACAGTTAATAAGATGTAAGTCCCAGATTTAAACTAAGGCTTTGGATTTCTAAGTTCTTCTTTCTTTGCTATTTAATGTATTTCTAACTACCTTTCTTTTTTCTCTCCCACTTTCTCTTTTCCTCTTTTTAAGAGTTTTTTATTCTGTCTTTCAGTAAATGTTTACTTTTTGACCAGGAGAGGAAAAACAGTTTATGAATAAGATTGCAATTGTAATAATGCATATTTTTGCCTTCAATGGCACACACTGTTGAAAAAAAGAGATACAAGTGTGAAACAGTGTGACCAGGGCTATAATGGATGTTGACTGCAGCCTCTGAGAGCTGGAAGAGGCACCATTTCTCAGTCTTGAGGAAGTGGAGAAGCTATCAGACAGGCAAAGTAGAAAAGATATGGTTCATGAAGATCTTATCTTTTGAGTCATTTTGTTTCTCACTGGTCGACATGCCCAGCCTTTCCAGGAATAGAATTCGTTCATCTTTGGGTATTTGTGAATGTGCCACCTATGTGGCCACATCATGGATTGGCTCTTGAAGCTTTATGTGTTTTCTTCTTCTCTGATTTTAAAAGTTGCACATTTTTTTGTCACCGAAAGTTAAAAACAAGTTAGTAAATTATAAAGAACAAAATAAATACCACCTATACTTTCACTTGGACTTAAACTGTGAAGCTTCAGAAATTTCCTTTGCTGTGTTTTTAATTGTCTACTTGGTCACCTTGGCAGGCAACCTGCTCATCATGACCACCATCAGTGCCAGCACAGCCCTAGGATCCCCTGTGTACTTCTTCTTGTCTCATTTATCCTTTATAGACGGCTGCTGTTCTTCCTCCATGACCCCTAAGATGTTAGTTGACTCCCTTACAATGAGAAAAACTATCTCTTCTAGGGGGTGTGTGACTCAAATCTTTGCCGAGCATCTTTTTGGTGCTGCTGAGATTATTGTTCTCATGGCAATGGCCCATGACTGTTTTGTGGCCATCTGTAAACCCCTGCACTACATGACCATCATGAGCCAGAAGGTGTGTAGCCTTCTTGTGGGAGGGGCCTGGGCTGGAGCCTTTGTCCACGCAGCCATTCAGATCCTATTTACAGTCTGGCTGCCCTTCTGTGGCCCTAATGTCAAAAATCATTCCATGTGTGACTTGAACTCTTTGTTGAAACTGGTCTGCATGGAGACTCATTCCCTTGGTCTCTTCATTACTGCAAACAGTGGGTTCATCTGCCTGTTGAACTTCCTCCTTTTGATGGTCTCCTATGTGGTCATCTTGTGCTCCCTAACGATCTGTAGCTCATGGGGAAGATGCAAAGCCTTCTCCATCTGTGTCTCCCACATCACCATGGTCATTCTCTTTTTTGCACCCTGCATACTTGTATATATGTGTCCAGTGATCACCTTTTCAATTGATAAAGATGTGGCTGTGTTTTATACCATGATAACACCTATGTTAAATCCTTTAATCTACACCCTCAGAAATGCAGAGGTGAAAAATGCTATGAAGAAGCTCTGGGTCAAAATGTGATTTCACCTGAGAAATAATCACAGCAGCATAAAATGACTTTATCTTTTAAATCAAAGATAATATCATTTCTTTGGTTCAGTGCCAAGTGAATACCATATGTAAAAGTATGTTGGTGTTGGCATATAAATCTTTTGAGTAACATTTCAGGGAGAAAATTATTTATCACTTCCAAATACCCTATTCAGATTTATTTATTGCCCATTTAGTTGTCAAACTTGGGTATACTTTCAGAATTATTCAGAATAGTTATTAAAATGTACATTCTCAGAGATTCTAATTCAATAGGACTATGGGATTGGCATATCTACATTCTAAATAAATTTTTACAGATGTTTCTAAGTGGGTGATTTATGCATACACTTTGAATAATAGTGCACTAGATAATATATGCATCCTCAACCAATTAATGGATCACCTGATTAAAGAATTTCCTGGGGATTATCTTTCATAGCATATGTTATGAGAATAATAAAACTTTCAGTTTTTTTTGTTGTTTTTTTTCCATTTATTTTTATTAGTTGGAGGCTAATTACTTTACAGCATTGCAGTGGTTTTTGTCATACATTGAAATGAATTAGCCATGGATTTACATGTATTCCCCATCCCAGATCATGCAATGTATGCTTACTACTTTTGCGCTGCAAAACCAAGAAATATAGTATTCTGAGAAAATAGACATGTTTTTGGTCTTTATTCTCCTTCTTCTATTTCTATACTTTTTAAATATTTTGCTACTTATGGTGTGTTGTTGTTGTTGCTGTTTTCCTCTTTGTGCTTACAAAGGGAAAATCTATCTTTTATTCTTGCTAAGTTATTTGGACTATTAATAAAATTCATTGTTATTGTAATCTCAACCATTCATATTGAGAACATTGCTTGTAAAAGCAATTTTTCTCTGTGAAAGAGACTTTTTGTATCATTTTTATATGCACATTTGGAGGAATGTGTGATAGGGTTTAATATTCTATAATGGTTAAGAGTAGTCTTTGAGTAAGATAGATTTGAGATAAAAAATTAGTTTTTACCACATAGAGTATGAGCTTTGGCAAATCACATCTTTCTGAGTTAAACGAGAATGACAGAAAGTTAATCAAGATTAAATAAATAATCCTCCTGTATTTTTTATTACTAATAAGTGTTCCATAGCTATTAGCTCTCAAGAATATCATTATTGGAGTCTCTGTAACTATATAGAATCACTCATTAATCTAATATTTCTGAGCATTAGGAGAGATAATATATGATTTCTCTGCATCTGCTGTGAAAAGTAAGGCTCTGAGCTGACTGCCCTTATAATATTTCTTAGGGGCCCAATATTCTCAGTCATTACTGGTCACTCTTTCCTGCTTTTCTGATTTCCATTGGCCTCATGTCCCTTAGACTTTGGGGCTGATCCATTTATAGCTATGATTTCCCCTAAACCCCCCTGATTGTAGGAACAAATGGTCATTTTATTAACTTGAGATCAGCACAACAGGCAACCAGAATATGACCCGATATTTGTGTAGAGAAGGTAGTATAGTGCAGTGGTAAGACTTGACTCAAGTCAGATTTCCTGAGTTTTCATTTTATTTGGGAAAATTATTTAATCTTTCTACATCATACTTTATTTATCTATAACTACAGTAGCTATTGGGAGAAGGCAATGGCAACCCACTCCAGTACTCTTGCCTGGAAAATCCCATGGACAGAGGAGTGTGGTAGGCTGCAGTCCATGGGGTCGCAAAGAGTCGGACATGACTGAGCGACTTCACTTTCACTTTTCACTTTTGTGCATTGGAGAAGGAAATGGCAACCCACTCCAGTGTTCTTACCTGGAGAATCCCAGGGACGGGAGAGCCTGATGGGCTGCCCTCTATGGGGTCACCCAGAGTAGGACACAACTGAAGTGACTTAGCAGCAGCAGCAGCAACAGTAGCTATAATGACTATCTCATAATGATATGGGGCCAGTTAAGTGGGTTTACAGATATTAAGTGCTTGAAGAGGTCATGGTAAATGTGATAAAAATGTTTTTAAAAGGAAAAAGTTATTGACTGGTTCTGACCTGCCTTCCAGCAAAGCCAGATTTGGGATTGTATCTCTTCTTGAACTAGCAAGAGCATCATTCCTTCCAGATCGGGACCTCCATGGATCTTACCTTGGTTCCTTAGATGAAAATGATGCTTTCTTATGTGAGCAATACTGTGTAGATAACTTTTTCCCTTGAATGAATAGAGCTTGCACTGGATTCTACCTCTTTAGTTTATGTAACAGTACATGCATTTCATAAGCTCATGGGATTTTGTTTTAGTCTCAGTTCATATGTGCGATGAAACGGTAGTTCATTTCATAGGTCTATTTCAAGCTTTAGATAAAGACATTGTATGCAAAATATCCATGACAGTGCTTTTCACTCAGTGGGTACATAACAAATGACACTATCTTTGCCACTTCCTTCATATCCTCCTCAGTTTCCCATTTACATCTGACTTAAAAAAAACACACTGTATGATTGACATTTATTTTTCAACTCTATGTGGTTATTTTATTAGGAGGTCATGAGGAACTTTCAAAATTCTAAGAGTAAAACCCCCTAAATTAATGCAAGAAACATGGGATTCACTTTCTAAACAATTCACCTTAAAATGTTAACATCTCCAAAGTTAAAATCAGGTTCAGAAAGATCCCAACATCTGATAAACTTTGTATGACATAATAGAAATCTGTAGCACAATAATTAGTGATTGTAGTAAAAGCTACTGTTACTTACTATGATTTGGCTGGTGCTGCAAAAGCAAGTTTTTATTTAATCTCCAAGAAAACTTATGAAAATCGATAGTATTATTCCTGCTTTCCAGAAGAATTAACTGAAGCTTGGAAAATTTAAATAATTTACCAGAGATCACAATTAGAAAACATCTGTGGTTGGACTTGAACCTATTTAATTTGACTTTAGAACTTGCACTGCTAAAGACTACACACTATATCATACTAATGACACACATCACACAGCTCATAACACTTTCTAGTGGAGGGAGATAGGCAGTAAGTAAGAAACCTATTAAAAATTGCATTCAGAGTGCAAAGTGCTTAAAAAATTGAAACACCTGACATGATAGTGACTCAGATGGCAGGGACCACTTTAGATTGTGTGTTCAAGGAAGACACAAGAGCAAGAATTTATAGCATTTGTCTAACAATGTCCAGGATGAGAGACACTGAGGTGAAGGTCATGATTAAAACCACCCAAGAGGAATTTGTCCGTGTGGGAAGGGAAGTTTTATCTCACCTGGATGAGTATCACTAACTTCTTTCTAACTCAAAGATCACCAAACAACCTTAATGTTATGATTAATTAAGTTCCACTCAAATCAGGAGGAAGTGAAATAAAACATATGTACTCAAGCAACCTCCTTCCCTAGAACTTGTGTTCATTTCTCGGCAGGGATTCTCTTTGATGGACTCTTTAGCATAGTCAGCAGCATAGATTTCCTCATTGCCTCTTTGAGGTTTCCTTTAATTTCTTCAATTTCTGCCATGTAGAAGCATTCATTTAGAAGAGCTGAACTAAACTGCTCGGTAGAGAGAAAGTTATCCGTTTAATCAAATTTACACTATAAGTAATTGGTCTTGGTCTATCAGCCTCTGCCCACTTTCAATCCCTCCACTCCCCTCAAACACACATCTCTTTCAGTTCAGTTCCGTTCAGTCGCTCAGTCATGTCCAGCTCTTTGCGATCCCATTGACTGCAGCACACTAGGCTTCCTTGTCTACCACCAACTCCCGGGTCTTACTCAAACTCAAGTCAATAGAGTCGGTGATGCCATCCAACCGTCTCATCTTCTGTCATTCCCTTCTGCTCCTGCCTTCAATCTTTCCCAGCATCAGAGTCTTTTCCAGTGAGTCACTTCTTTGTATTAGGTGGCCAAAGTACTGGAGTTTCAACTAAGCATTAGTCCTTCCAATGAATATTCAGGACTGATTTCCTTTAGGATGGGACTAGTTGGATCTCCTTGCAGTCCAATGGACTCTCAAGAGTCTTATCCAACACCATAGTTCAAAAGCATCAATTCTTTGGCACTTAGCCTTCTTTATAGTCCAACTCTCACATCTGTTCATGACTACTGGAAAAAACCATAGCCTTGAGTAGACGGACCTTTGTTGGCAAAGTAATGTCTCTGCTTTTTAATATGCATCTCTTTGAACTTATCCTATATCATTCTTTGCCTTGTTCAGTAGCTCCAGCTGCAATGGCTTTGCTTTTGCCCATGAACCTTTGAACTAAATCTCTTTATTCCCACAATTGTCTTCCTCTAGACCTCCATCTGTTTGGATCATGGTCTGTACTCAGACTGCAGTTCACCTGTCACCTTCTTAGAAGTATTCTTCAGCCCCCAAAATAAAATCATTGTCTATCTCCCTGATTTACTCTCCATCACATCACTTTATTATGTTTTCTCTACAGAATCTTCATCATCTGATTGGTTAATGTACTTATTATCTCTCTCTTCTAATTATTATGTAAACTCCATGTAGTAGAGGTATTAGCTTTTGTACACACTACTGAATTTCCAGTGCATAGAATAGACTTGAAACAGAGTAAATACTTACTAAATATTTTCCAAATAAAAAGCTGCCACTTCCAGTTACCCCTTTCGAGAGTAAATATGGGACTTCCCTGATGGTACAGTGGGTAAGAATCTGCCTTCCAATGCGGGGGACATGGGTTTAATCCCAGGTCTGGGAAGGTGCCAGAATGCTGTGGAGCAACTTAGCTCTTGTACCACAACTACTGAACCTGTGCTCTAGAGCCTGCAAGCCTCCCCAACTGATCTCTGGTGCTGCAAACATATCCCGTCAGTCGTGTCTGACTCTATGTGACCCCATAGACAGCAGCCCACCAGGCTCCTCCATCCCTGGGATTCCCCAAGCAAGAATACTGGAGTGGGTTGCCATTTCCTTCTCCAATGCATGAAAGTGAAAAGCGAAAGTGAAGTCACTCAGTCGTGTCTGACTCTTCACGACCCCATGGACTGTAGCCTACCAGATACCTCTGTCCATGGGATTTTCCAGGCAAGAGTACTGGAGTGGGTTGCCACGGCTTTCTTCACATCAATAGTTCATAGAATAAAACCTGGAAAAAAAAATAAATGTTATTTTTTTAAAAATAATGAATGATTAGATATCTATTACAACTACATTGAAGATAAGATTTTTCACCTGTTCAACCTCACACTTATATAAGTTGATTAAATCAAAGAAAAAATAGTCTTGCTATGGCAAAGTAGAGAAAGTGTCAAACTCATTTTCACTGGGACGAAATGACAGGGCTGATATTTTATTTTCAGCTGGCAATATTTCCATAATGGTTCTGAGACTGTTTGTTGTTGTTGTTGTTGTTGTTCCTCTTGTTACATATTCCTTACCCTAGTTACGTGATGTGATTTTCTTAACAGATTTTTTTCTTTTTAATATGTAGATGTTCTTTTAAGATTTGGTGGAAAATCCCATTGAATTTAATTAAACAACCATCAGTTTTGGATACATTCCAATTGCAGGATTCCGTGATTACATCATGAGAATGTACAAAATCATCACAACATTTGTTTGTATTAAGTAGACAATGCTGTCCTCTTAAGAGCTAATGTAATGATTTCAGGAGATGCTTTAGTAGGCTTAAGCTATGATGTAAAAAAGACACAAGAATGCCATCTCTAAAGCTAAAGTAGAACTGTTTGTCCATACCAATACAATAGAATGAGACTAGTTAAACATCTGAATGGTAGTTATTCTTTATTGATATTACTAGAGAAGAATGGATAAGATAGAAAGTTCCCTGGTAAAATAGCTACTGTTACCTTCATACATAGACACAGGATGACATAGGATTTTTTTGGTGTGTTTTTGTGAAAATTTTCTAATGGGAAACTTTTAGTTTTTCTTCTACTATGATTCTTTTGAAATGGAGCTACAACGTAGGTAACAATTTTCTGAAATACTTGGAAGATCATGGAGAAAATGGACAGACATAGGCATATGAAGTCAAATATGCCTTCAAAGAATAATACAGTTTTTTGTCCTCAGTGAGTTAAGCAGATGGCCCAAAGACTTCCAGGTCTTCATGAGTAAGTAAAAATTCTTCAAATTGTGAGCAAGTTTACAAAAGGTAAGACTTTAATAGTTAATAGTGGAAACCAGGCTTTGCATTTGTATAAATTTCTGCATTACCATACATAGGAAATCACATCACTTTAGTTTCTAAGAACTGTATTTTAAAAAAAACTGACCATAGAGAAAATTAAATAAATCAAACTTAGACTCCAATTCCAGGTCTGTCACTTAAAATCAGGTAACTTTGGGAAAGTTAATTTGAAATTCTGAGTCTCAGCTTTTTCTTTTTCTTTTTTTAAACTATAAATTTAAGATTTTTTTGTCATTGTGAACATAAAATGTGATGCCTTAAATATAATTATATATATTTATATGTGTATATATGGGCTTCCCCAATGGTTCAATGGTAAAGAATATACCTGCAATGCAGGAGACACAGGAGACACGGGTTCAATCCCTGATTCAGGAAGATCCCATGGAGAAGGGCATGGCAACCCACTCCAGTATTCTTGCCTGGAGAATCCCATGAACAGAGGAGCCTGACAGGTTACAGTCCATAGGGTCGCAAAGAGTTGGTCATGACTAAAGTGACTGAGTCCATGTGTATAATTCTTCATAACAAGTGAAAACTTTTATATTCTTCTAATCATGTTATTTCTTTTCATTAAGATATTTTGGTCTATATTAACATAAATAATTGAATAAAAATATTTGTTTTCTCACCATCTTTTACATTTCAGAGGGATATAAACTTGCTGATATGCTTAAATTGAATTTCTGATATTTAAAAAAAAAAAACAACGAAGACTGATTATCTATGTTGGTTCAAGAACTCTGCTACTTACATATATGTAGCCCACTAGATACTCAGGAAAACTTAGTTAACTATCTATCAAAATTTCATTTTACAAATATGAAAAGTATGACCCAGAGTGGTGATTGACACTTATTTAAAGTATTACACCTAGATTTATAAAAGTGTATTTTCAGTTCAGTTCAGTTGCTCAGTCATGTCTGACTCTGTGTAACCCCATGGACCGCAGCACGCGAAGCCTCCCTGTCCATCACCAACTCCCGGAATTTACCCAAACTCATGTCCATTGAGTCAGTGATCACATCCAACCATCCCTTCCTCTGTCAGCCCCTTCTCCTCCCATCCTCAATCTTTCCCAGCATCAGGGTCTTTTCAAATGAGTCAGTTCTTCACATCAGGTTTCCAAACATGGGAGTTTCAGCTTCAAAATCAGTCCTTCCGATGAATAATCTAGACTGATTTCCTTTAGGATGGACTGGTTTGGATCTCCTTGCAATCCAATGGACTCTCAAGAGTCTTCTCCAAGACCACAGTTCAAAAGGATAAATTCTTTGGTGTTCAAGTTTCTTTATAGTCAAACTCTCACATCCATACATGACTACTGGAAAAATCATAGCTTTGACTAGACGGACCTTTGTTGGCAAAATAATGTCTCTGCTTTTTAATAAAGTATATTTTACTGGTTTTGAAATAGGTTTCATGATAAAAGTGATATATATTTTCTAAAAGAAGACTTAAAGACATTTGAGTTACACATATTAATGATGAAGTTTATGTAAAACCCAGTTTGATAAGGCTTTTGGTTTTCATGTCATATAAACTAGGTTACTGGAGTCAAATCTAATAGTTTGCTAAATGGAAACCTCAAGGAATGTTCACTATCACTGAGTAACAAGTGGAACAAGATTAGAACGTGGTTGGTTAAGACTTCTATGACATTTGTCACAAAAAGGTTAAAAAATTAAATGAAGTCAGAAGCCATCTTTTAAACTCAAGAAGTATCCTTATCTGGAAATGAAGGAGAGTTTAATGAAAAGATGCTTCCACAGTCACACTACTATTTTTGTCCTCTGATAGTACCACTCCTGGTATATACCCTGACCATTAATTAATTAGTAGACACTTTGAGATGGCTCTGAGTTTACATTATCTGAAAAATGTGACACAATGTAAAGTAAATATTTGTAAACTGTATAAATAAGATTAAACTTACAATATATTGTTCTACAGTATGTCCCATCATTTTAGAGGTAAAATGTTTCTGATCTCTGAAATTACACTCTACAAAAGAATAAATGGAACTATAGAGATGGAAAAGCACTTTGCCTATTTGAGGGCTATCCTGTAATTAAAAGATGCTTACTCCTTGAAAGGAAAGTTATGACCAACCTAGACAGCATATTAAAAAGCAGAGACATTACTTTGCCAACAAAGGCCCATCTAGTCAAGGCTATGGTTTTTCCAGTAGTCATGTATGGATGTGAGAGTTGGACTGTAAAAAAAGCTGAGGGCTAAAGAATGATGCTTTTGAACTGTGGTGTTGGAGAAGACCCTTGAGGGTCCCTTGGACTGCAAGGAGATCCAACCAGTCCATCCTAAAGGAGATCAGCCCTGGTGTTCATTGGAAGGACTGATGTTGAAACTGAAACTCCAATACTTTGGCCACCTGATGCAAAGAGCTGACTCATTGGAAAAGACCCTGATGCTGGGAAAGATTGTGGGCAGACAGAGAAGGAGACAGAGGATAAGACAGCTGGATGGCATCACCGACTCGATGAACATGAGTTTGAGCCAACCCTGGGAGTTGGTCATGGACAGCGAGGCCCGGTGTGCTGCAATTCATGGGGTTGCAAAGAGTCAGACATGACTGAGCCACTGAACTGAACTGAACTGAACAGCTAATACAGTGGCCTTTAATTTTTATATTCAAATTTTTTCTACTGACTGAATATGTAGATTATCTTAAGTGAATCTTCAGTATTATGGTTTTGTGACTTTAAACATATTGCACCTTTTCATGTTATTCCCTGCTGTCCTCTTTTGTTTACCCTCTTCTTTAAAATCAGGGAAAGCATTGCTTCCTCAGGGAAGATTTTCCTGGTATCAGTCTGATTTAGGTGTTCCTTAGCACAACAGGAATATATTTATAATTAAATTGGTTATAAATTATATAATCCAATCTTCATGTATTAAATCATTGAGAGTATGGAAACAGTCTTATTCAATATGGTAATCCTAATTTCTGTGATAGGATGTTTGATACAAAGAGCTGCTCCACAGGCATCTTTAAAAAACCTTTTATTTTATTTTGGAGTATAGTTAATTAACAATGTTGTATTAGTTTCAAGTGTACAACAATGTGACTTACTTGTATTTATACATGCATTTATTATTTTTTCAAATTCTTTTCCCATTTTGGTTGTTACATAATATCAAGCAGAGTTCTCTGTGCTATAGAGTAGGTCCATAAACACTTTTGACTGAATGAACAAAGATAATATCAAGCTTTGTTCTTGTTGCTTAGTCGCTAAGTTGTGTCCAACTCTTTTATGATCCCATGCTCTGTAGCTCACCTGGCTTCTCTGCATGGGAATTCCCAGGCAAGAATACTGGAGTGGGTTGCTGTTTCCTTCTCCAGCGATCTTCCTGACAGAGGGATTTAACCTGCATCTCTGCATTGGCTGGCAAATTCTTTACAACTGAGCTACATGAGAAGCCATATTTAGCTTATAATAGTTTAAAATATTTTTCCTTGTTTTATAGGTAAACTATTTCTAATACGTGAAATCAGTACCTATAAAAGAATAGATGGTATCAAGGAACAATGTGACTTACTTTGTCCTTTTGAGCCTCACACAGAAGCCAAAGGAGCAGAAAGTCCTTTCTCTTATGTTCTTGCTCTTCTACATTTTGACCATGGTGGGCAACCTGCTCATTGTTGTGACCGTCACTGTCAGTAAGACTTTAAACTCACCCATGTACTTTTTTCTTGCTAGCTTATCATTCATGGATGCCATTTATTCTTCAGCGATTACCCCAAAATTGATTTCTGATCTGTTCTTTGGGGAAAATACCATATCTTTCAAATTTTGTATGGCTCAGCTCTTTATAGAGCACCTTTTTGGTGGATCTGAAGTCTTTCTTCTGTTGGTGATGGCCTATGACCGCTATGTGGCCATATGTAAGCCCTTGCATTATTTGGTGATCATGAGGCAGAGGATGTGTGTTTCACTGCTGGTGGTGTCCTGGGTTGGAGGTTTCCTGCACTCAATTATTCAAGTTAGCACTGTTTATGGGCTCCCATTCTGTGGCCCCAATGTCATCGATCACTTTCTCTGTGACATGCACCCTTTACTGAAACTTGTCTGTACTGACACTTATGTCATTGGCATCTTAGTTGTGGCCAATGGAGGACTGATCTGCACTATTGTATTTCTGCTCTTACTCGTCTCCTATGGAGTCATTCTGCACTCTCTGAAGAACCTGAGTCAGGAAGGGAAGCGGAAAGCTCTCCAGACCTGTGGTTCCCACATCACTGTGGTTGTCTGCTTCTTTGTTCCCTGTATTTTCATGTATGCAAGACCTGCTAAGACCTTCCCCATTGACAAATCATTGAGTGTGTTTTACACAGTCATTACCCCCATGCTGAACCCATTAATCTACACTCTGAGAAACTCAGAGATGACAAATGCTATGAAGAAACTCTGGAGAAGAAACATCATATCTTGTAGCAAATAAGTTTGACATTCACCATGAAGAGGTTCATATAACTTTAGGGCCCATCTCCTTAGAAACCAACAGTCTGCTAAAATGGATTCACCTACCCCATTCATTTAAAGCATTTTTATAATTATAATAATTAACTGTATAATTGGGTTACTAATATGCTTCTCTGGTAAAATGTCAGCTCTGCACATAGCATTTTGGTTATCCCTTTGCCTAGTAGGGGGTAATATGTATAAGGAGGAAGTTGATAAAAATATATAATAAATAAAATGTTTACAATTTCAATGATTTTAATCAATCTATTTATCTTTAAAATTATTTTCTGAGACTTAGTTTTATTTTTTAGTGATATTCTTTTCATTTTTGTCCATTTGTTTTATTTTATTAGTGAAAATATTTAATTATATACATTTTCCTATGTATTCAATTTCAGTTGCATTACATGTGAAATTTTCTGTGACAATTTTAATGTAAAAGGAAAGCATAATAATAATCGATAAAGTTTGAAACCACATGAAATGGTGCAAGTGAAAAACACGTTCTTTCAAAATAGTTCAAAACAAGGCAAGAAAGAGAGAATGATAAATTTGAATGAATTAAGAGATTCTGTTCCATAAAAACACCTGGAAGAAAGCAAAAAGGCAAGTTACAAACTGAATTGTTATTCATAGGAAGTGTTCATATACAGTTGGAATGATTCGTTCCTTGAAAGCTTAGTAAAATGACCTGTAAAACCAAACCAAACCTCCTATCCATCCTTTTCAGTGTTTCCTAGTGTTCTTCCCCAGAGTAGTCACAAGTCTGTTTCTTAAGATTATTCAAGTATTAATTTTTACAAATACAAGCATATTTATCTATGATTTTGTGTACAAATGTCTGAAGCAAGTATTTACATTTTATTATTAAACACAGTGAGGATCTTTCAATAACAGTCTGTATAGATCTAACTCATTCTCAGTTAGTCTTATAATATGTGATTTTCCCTTATAACATTCCTGAATTAGTGTATCCAGTACTTTTCATGTCATTTCACATCTTTTCCTATGATGTGTAATTCTGCAATAAATATGTAACTTCTTGATTATGTATTCTTAGAAATGTTAGTTTCCAGAAGTAGAGATTTTGGATCACAGGGAATATGTGTTTAAAATGTTTATATTCATAGTTATTTTCAAAATGATTCATGAGGTTATACCTACACTTCTGCCCACAGTCTGAGAATATCTCCTGTTTACCTTCTTAACAACCAGTGATCAGTTTTGGGGATATGACAATATGGTTTGTTAAAGAATTTATAATTCATTTGTGTACTTTAATTGAAATTCTTTAAATATAATTGCTTTACATATCTTTTCACACGTTTAAATTTTATGTATTTATCTTTGAATTGTCTACTAATATTTTTGATTATTTTCTTTTTCATACTTACTTCTATGAGCAAGTATATACTAAGGAAATAATCTTTTCAAAGAAATGTTATCTGTGTACTTAATTTTCTGGCCTGTTATTTGATTTTGAGTTTCTTTTACTATACAGCATTCTTTCCTGGCTATGTAGATTTTTTTTTGGTTATTTACTTGGTCAGATTTATGAATATTTTATGTGATTTTGTTTCATCATTAAAAGCTTTGCTCATTTCTCCCTAAACATAATATTATTCCATATTTTTAAGATATTAATATTTTAGCACTTTTGTGGCTTTATATTTTATATGAAATGTTTTATCCATCAGGTATTTATTTTGATACATACGGAGTTAAATAAGAATTGTATTTTATTGTTTTCTAAATGAACTTTTTTTGGTAGCTGCATAATTATCTTTCACCACTGATATGAAATCCTAACTTTACTGTATTCTAAAATTCCACATCTACGTGGATGCAATTCTGGACTTTATTTTGTTCCACTGATTTCTTCAGTCATGAACTATTTAACACATGGTACAATTGCAGTTCATCTATAGAACATTTTGAAATCCAATAAGCCCAGAACTTCTTCATTATTCTTTTTTTTCAGAATTATGTCTGTTCTTACATATATATGTTGTCAAATTAACTTTATAATAAAGGCCCAGCCACAAAAAATTATGTTTCAATTTTTGACTTACAAAGAATAGTTTAGGAAAAGTTAATATCTTTAGAGATTTGAGAACTCCTGTCCATGAAGAGGATAGGTGTTTTCATTGTATTTTTTATCCTCTTTGTTAGTGCTTTACATATTCTATGTTTTTACATCCCTTATAGATAGCTGCTGTTCTTACTTCCTGACCTCTTAAGTGTTAGCTGACATTATTGCTGTAAGAAAAACTATCTCCTTTAGGAAGTTCATGACTTAAAACCTTGCTGACCATCAATTGATGTGGCTGAGATCATTCTACGGATGGGTCTGGCCTACGACTACTATGCATCCATCTGTACTACCTCACTATCATGTTAATATAGGTGTGGCCATATATGGGAGTCACCCAGGTTAGAAGATTTATTCATGTAACACTGCGGATCCTCTTTACAGTCTGGCTGCTTTTTTTTGCCCCAGTGACATAGAATTCATGTGTAACATGACTCTGTCGAAAGTCATTTACATGAATACTTACACATTTTATTGCTGCCAACTACGAATTTATCTGCCTGTTAAATGTAATGCCTTTTGATGGACTCACATGTTGTGATCCTATACACTTTGAAATCTCACAGAATGGTAAGTGCAACACCCTCTCCATCTGAGTCTCTCACATCTCTCTGGTTATTTTATTCTTTGTGCCCTGCGTATTTGTGTATATGCCTCAGATCCTTTTCAATCAATGTCTATATTTTATACTATGCTAACTCTTACCTTATATTCTTTATCCCACATCCTCAGAAATACAGAGGTAATAATTGCTGTGAAGTTCTGAGTCAAAAGATGACTTCAGAAGGGAAGTAATGAAAACAGAAAATAATTTTAACTGTTTATCATATAAGGGATAAAGTTATTTTGCTCTGTTTTCATAATTTCCCCTCTGAAGTCATTTTTTGATTCAGAATTTCTTCACAACACTGCTTACCTTTGCATTTCTGAAGGTGTAAAATAAAGAGTTTTATTTCCCTGATGGTCCAGTGGCTAAGACTTGCACTCCCAATGCAGGGTGCCAGGTTTAATTCCTGGTCAGGAAGCTAAATCCCACATACAGCAACTAAGGGTTCCCATGCTGCAACTAAAGACCACACATGCCACAACTAATACCTGGTGCAGTCAAATATATATATATATATATATAATGTTTTATTTTATATTGGAGTATAGATGATTAACAGCATTGGACAGCAAAGGGACTCGGCCATGCATATACATGTATCCATTCTCTCCCAAACTCCCCTCCCATCCAGATTGCTGCATAACACTGAGCAGAATTCCCTGCACTACACAGTAAAATAAACAAACTATATATTTAAAAATTGGTGAAGTATTAAAGACAATTTCTGTTTTTTAGGACCAAGAGAATACTGTTTGTCAGAGGAATACTGATGTTGGCATTCGGAAATCTGAAGAGAGGCCATAGTAGGGACTCATCATTACAAAAATACTCATTTTAGATATACTTATCACCTATTTGTTGGTCAAATGTTGGAATACTGTCAGAAAAAGTTTGGTTTCTTGTTAAAATGCAGTTGTTCACAGACCATGAAATTTCAAAACAAAATAAAGCATTTGGGGAAAATAGGAAACATTCTTATCTGACTTTGTGATCTTAATGTCAGGTTTAACACATTGGGTGAATAAAGTACATTAAGCTTATAATCCATGTAAAGGTGTTTTTAAGTTTTTGATTTGATTTATAGTTAAACTGTTCCTCATATCTGAAGTCAGCATCTATAAGGAATAGGTGGAACCAAGAAGCAATGTGACTCACATTATCCTGGGCCTCACACAAAATCCAAAGGAGCAGAAAGTCCTTTTTGTTATGTTCTTGTTCTTCTACATTTTGACCATGGTATGCAACATGCTTATTGTGGTGACTGTAACATTTAGTAAGACCCTGAATTTACCGATGTACTTTTTTCTTGCCAGCTTATCATTTATGGATATCATTTATTCCTCATCTATGTCTCCCAAACTGATTTCAAGCTTGTTTGTAGGGAAAAATACCATATCCTTCCAATCTTGTATGACTCAGCTCTTTACAGAGCATTTTTTTGGTGGGTTGGAGGTCTTCCTTCTGCTGGTGATGGCCTATGACTGCTACGTGACCATCTGTAAGCCCTTGCATTATTTGGTGATCATGAGACATAGGGTGTGTGTTGTGCTGCTGGTGGTGTCCTGGGTTGGAGGTTTTCTGCACTCAGTAATTCGACTTAGCACTATTCTTGGGCTCTCATTCTGTGGCCCCAATATCATTGATCATTTTTTCTGTGACATGTACCCTCTATTGAAACTGGTCTGTACTGACACTATGTCATTGGCCTCTTAGTACCAGCACATGGAGGACTGATCTACACTATTGTGTTTCTGCTCTTACTCATCTCCTGTGGAGTTATTCTGCACTCTCTGAAGAACTTGAGTCCGGAAGGGAGGCAGAAATCCTTCCAGACCTGTGGGTCCCACATCACTGTGGTTATCTGCTTTTTTGTTCGCTGCATTTTCATATATGGGAGACCTGCTAAGACCTTCCCTATTGGCAAATCATTAAGTGTGTTTTATACAGTCATAATGCCCACGCTGAATCGTTTCATCTACACTCTGAGGAACTCAGAGATGACAAATGCCATGAATAAGCTTTGGAGAAGGAACATGGTATTTTATGGTAAAAAATGCATTCATCCACCATGAAGGGGGTCATTTGACATCAGAGACCACTTCCTTGGAATTCAGTAGCTTTCTCAAATCTGATGTTGATTTCTTTTTCTTTATTTATAACTATAATATAAAAATTATAATATAACTATGCAACTGTGCTGTTAATAACATGGATAGTTCTTCTCCATGGTAGAATGTAAGGTCTGTAATATTTTGCTTATCACTGTACCTAGAAAGAT